AAATAAGGTCATACGAGTTCTCATGCTAAAATATATGAGTAACAACGAGGTCTTAAGCTTCGGTTAAATATGCAAATCAATTTACCGTAAGATGCTCCTCTGCAACTACTTTTACAAACTGAACAATGTTAATAAATTTAAATATACGTCTTCACACGACAGGTGAAATGTTAACCATTTCACTAAAACAATCCATTATTCTACTGATGATCCAAACTGGCAAAAAGAAATTGATCTCATCGCTTCTCATCAGATTAGGTTTTCAATTCATTACGAAATTAAACTGACATATACATAAAACTTGATTTACGTGATTGAGTCCACAATCATAGAAACGACTCCACAGATACACCATGCAGAATAATGCAGGCCTGGGCGGTGTGCATTCGGTGTTGCCAATCATCCGAAGCCTCTCATGGAACCAGATAGAATTACGAACATCTGCAGTTTTTTGTTTATGTAAGAACATAAGCTTGATGTCCTCACAAAACTGCAATGTGTAATGGAGCCTCTCAGTCCAGCCCTCCCCATGCCTCCTTCACTTCCTTCTTGTTGTCATCATTCTCTTACCTGGATCCTTTCCCTTTTCTGCTTTGTCGGGCATCACCTCCTCAAATCGTCAACAGCCGACGGCAACATAACGGACTCGCCGGTGCATCATTGGCGCGAAAACAAAGAAAAAAGTTTTGGTTAAATGTAATGAAGACTGACTCAGACGGAATGCGGACTTACTCTGACTGCATCTTTCTCTTCCTGTTCCTCTTACCCCCCTTCCCCCCCTCACCATCTCTGAGACGTGTGCTTGTCCCACACAAGACTGTACAAGTGCACTTCTGAGCTAAAACAGGATACACCGGCACTAAAATTTCATCAGGTTTCTGGAGTGTGAAAGTAAAAGAAGCACTGAAAGTTACACCATAGCACAGAAATAACAGAGCTGCAGCTGTGCTGACGAGTAAATATCACTGTTCATGGCTTTAAAATTAGTTGCAAATACTAGTTCTTGATTTGCCTTATTCCATTTTATACCCAAATTCAAGAAGAGATGTTTGGAATATGAAATAAATGCTACACCATGTGTTAAAATTCCATTAGGTTTTTAGGGAGTTAAAGATAGCAGAAATCGTGCAACTTTAACCCAAGACCCAATCAAATATGCCCAAAAGAATCTTGGTGAAAAGTGAATTAGACCATAAGCAGCCAGTATGCAAAGTATCTGCAACACTTGCAGTCTGTTTGTGTGACTGATTCTGTGGTTTGTTCACTTCCTGTTGACTTCCTGCTGAAGGAGAAGTAGACAGGCAGAATGAGAGAAGCAGAAGCTCTCCGAGGAGAGATGTTTTGCCAAGTATTTTAAGATGGTTTCCATAAAATTAGGAATGCAAACATTTTTCAAAAGATGAAAGTACTTTGCATATCAAGTAAACTGAAGATTCGCTTTTTGGTTTTTGGTGATTTTGCAGAGACGATCATACCTGCAATCGGAGGATGTGACCAGTCAACTGTGTAATTTCCCTTGTTTTTGAAACACTTTTGTTCTTGTTTATTGAAAGGTCAGATATTAACTAATATGCCTTCACTGTAATGCCAAGCAAGACCCAAGGTTGTCCAGTTAATTTTATACTGGTGGAGGAATGTACATGTCCTGGAAAACCTGGAAAAGTGTTTATGCTTTGTGAGGCAATGAGGCAGCCATTCCTTTTACATAATTGTTTATACAGTTAATCACTTACCCAATGAACCATGAACATCACACATTTTAAGGACAACCATGGGATTAATGGATGCCATGTGACCTTGCACCACCAAATGTGCTATGCAATAAAAACAGTAGGTAGACTGAAGGGATATTATAATATACAAGAGCACACAAAACAGTCAAATCCGGGATTTGGCCTCCTAAACGCATTACTTCTAAGTACAATAATCCCAACCACAAGACCAAGATAGGCAACTGCTTGCCTGACACCCTGGTCACTTAGTCTCAAACATAACAGAGAACACTTTTTACACGGTTTGCTTTATATGGGCATATTACCACACTGCTGAGTCGTGAAAAGATGCTGAAAAGTGGCTTCATGCCAATTCGGAGGGTGTAATCAAAGATAACATTGGTGATGGCGAAAAAGTGCCAAGATCGTGTGATTTTGGGAGGTTTCAAAAAATTGTCGGTGAACATTTTTTCTAAAAAATTTCAAACCATTCGAAAAGATACTAATAGCTAACTAAATATTAGACTACTACCTGAATCATTAGCATAAACATAACATAAACATTCTCTATCGCTTATGCACAGGCATCCTCCTCCCCAGCCACCTCCTCCAGCTCCTCCGGGGGGGTACCAAGGCGTTCCCAGGTCAGCAGAGAGATATAATCTCCCTAGCATGTCCTGGGTCTGCCCTGGGGTCTGCTCCCCGTTGGAAATGCACAAAGTAACCCCCCAGGGACACATGCCCCAATCACCTCAGCTAGCTCTTTCCGATCCCAATGACCCTTATGACCTCACCTAGAACAGGGACACCAGAGCCGCGCCCTGAAGACAGGACTGATGGAGGGGGCTTGTCGGTGAGTGCTTGGTGGTCAGGCATTCATCCACGAGCCCCAGCCAGGCACAGCCAGAATGACCTAGATGTATCCATTCTCCTGTAGGCCCACTCCCTGCAAGAGGAACCATAAGCATCCAGTGTAATGTGGATCGGGCAGCAGTTGAAGGTGGGGACCGATTCCCAGTTACTGAACAGATCATATTTAATTAAAAAAATAATAATAATAAATAATAATATTTGGTCATACCATTAATTCACCAGCCAGCTGGGGGGAAAAAAAAGCTTCTAATTAACGCATAAATTATTCAGTGAATTTACTAAAGCACAGGGAGAACACATGCTAACCTCCAAGGGCCAATTATCAAACCAACGAACAACAATCAGCTCCTGTCCTATACAATCGCAGCATGGCTGCATTCATACAAATATTCTACCACAACTGCACAGTATATGGTACGATTTTGTAGCAAAATGTGTTCTTTTGTCACAGAGTGGTCCACAAAGACAATAAGTACAGCACTCCAGCACAGATCCTTCCTTTACTAACAATCTCTGATTTATCAGGAAGGCAGGGAAGGAAGTGTGGCATTTCTGACTGTTGGTTGTTAAGTTGGCCAAGCATAAAAGATTCAAGCTATTACACTTGTTAAGCAGGAGTGGGATATTGAGAGTCCAATTTCTGAGTCCTCTAATGTCTAATTAGACCAATGGCTGAAGTAATTGTGTCAGACAACAAGGGTAGCTAAGGGCACAAATGAATCAAGAACAATATAATTGATCCCAGAATCAAAGTTAAAACTAGAACAATACAAACCCCAGAGTTATTCCTGAGATGAAGATCTTGCTTTGTGAAAAAGATGAATCCATTTCAGATAATCTAGAGTTCAAGACCAGCATCAAGACTGACAAATATTAATATATTTGTGTGGAAACATACTGCCAACTTCTCCACAGACTGAAGATTAAATAAAGGATCCAAACTCAAAACAATGTAACTGACAAATAATATCAATATTTTAAATGGATCAATGAAATGGCTGAGCACTGTATAAATGTATTATTAAACATACTAACTCAATTAGATCAACGGCATTATTGTCCTTCAAGTAGAAGACGTATTCTTCAAAATTACAATGTTGTATTATCTATTAAGATTTTCATTTTAAAAAGTGTTTGTGCCACTATGAATTCTTAGCAGTTCTACTGCATGGTAGCCTATGTGCTGCAATATATCACCTTTGAGCATACAAAATATAAACTAGGTGTGAATATGTACTGTGGTGTCAATAGCACTTATTTTGCTATTAATATTTACTGCTGCAGAGTAAGTATGTTTAGTATAGAGTGGTGTGTAGCTCAGCAGATTAGCGATTTGTGCATGTTTCTGGAAGGTTATAGGTTTGAATCCTGTTGCTGGCAGGACATTCACATAAATGTTGAGCAAGGCCCTTAACCCCATCTGCTCAAGGGAGGCTACAATTTGGCTAAAGCTCCACTCAGACCCCATGGAGAGCAAGATAAGATATACAAACACCGAAGAATTCCTATAGACCCGTTACAAACAGCAAAGGAACAAGAAAGTTTTTTGTTCCTACATTTGAAAAATTGTTCAAATGGCAAAAAAATATCTCGGTATTCATTGAGGGAAAACGTGATTTTAAGCCTTCCAAATGGACAATAAGGCAGAACTTCACTGAAAGTGGTACTTTTGCAACATACATCGACTTTAATATCGGGATTTACAAAAACATCACTTTACCCTAAATATTAATTTTAGCTGTTTATGTAGATGAAATGGTTGGCTACATGAAATATTCAAAGCAAATTATGACATACAAGTAATTATTCCGAAAGTATGAAATTATACCCATTATACTTAAAATATTTGCTTATTTAAATACATATTAACGTATTCCCAGGTATAATAACTAACGTGTCTAAATATATCCTCCCCCATATACTCAAGACTATATACAGAATAATATAATATATAGTCCCTGGTGGGGAAGGAAATGAGAATATATGAGTTAATTTCCCCCGAAGCCCAAGCAAACCCTCGACTCTCCCGTCATTTCTCAATAAATCGCTAGGGGACCCTGCTGTGTGTAACTTTTCAAGGGTACGTGTGAAAACACACCGCCACACGGAGTGTAGCTACGGCGCACAATGCTGCAGCAGCAACCGCTGACGGGGAACGGGCCTGCCGGACGGGGGCTCGGCCTGAGCGCTCACCCCGCTCTGCAGGCGCTCAGCTCGGTGCACCCGTCCTCGCAACACCGCGCCGACGGAGAGCCGGGCCTGGACGGCTCGGAAAACGGACTGGAGAGCCGCAGAGACATTGGGGACATTTTGCAGCAAATAATGACCATCACCGACCAGAGCCTGGACGAAGCGCAAGCAAAGTTAGACATTTTTCGTATATATATTTTTTTTATTCGCCGAGGCTTTCGCAGCGTTTCTGCTACGGTCTGGCACTTTGCCCACTATTATAAGTTGGCGCAAGTTTGCATTTTTAAAAACGGGCGAACGTAGGAGAGCCGCCTATTGTTGTGTCGGCGCTCTGGCCTCCACACGAAAGCAGGCGGCATTTAAATGTCCCGTCTGTACTTATCTTAAATGCACTTCATCTTCTTTATAAAGTTATTTTACCTACGTGCCTGATACTGCTGCCTTAGCTAACTGGTTAGCCTCCTCGCAGCCAGATCGCCGGTTTACCTGCTAGCCGGCTACCCCGCGCCGTTTTGTTGACATTGATTAGCTGTGTTACTTTCAGTGTGTCAATGACGACGAGCGACATTATTTCGCTTTAAACCTGAAAAACATGAACCATAAATCGATGCTAGTTCATTAGCTAAAGACATGGCAGGTATTCATTTAACCAGATAACCGCTTTGGCTGGCTAGTGGGGGGACTGTCGCGTTAGACCAAAGCAGCGTTCACGTCGGTCTCCTAGCAGCAGTTCGGTTAGCAAGTACAGCCCGCATGCAGCCTGCAGGGCGACGGCAGCGCCGTGAGACCCATCCGGGGGCCGCGGGGGCATCGCTGGACACCGCTGGATGTAACTGTGGAAAGTAAATAAACGTAGTGAAGCAAACATCCAGCTGGGAAAAATGGCTCGAGTGGGAAACCGTCCCTCACCTGCATTATTTTATAGTATTCAGTACACCCGAAGCACTTTGTTTCCACATTTTAATTCTATTATTATTATTTGTTGTTGTTTTTTTTTTCACTCAACAGAAAACACGCCTTGAATTGTCACCGAATGAAACCGGCTTTGTTCAGTGTGTTATGTGAGATCAAAGAGAAAACTGGTGAGTTTTGTCGCCTTTTCGATTGCGGTGATGCGATGGGGTATCTGGGTGCAGACAATCTGCTAATTGCTTTAAAAGTTTACATTTGTATTGTTTGTTCTGTCTCTGAGTCACCCGGGGGGGGTGACTACGAGCTAAGAGCGAGTCCGCCATATTGATTCAACTGTTCCAAGCGACTTGCTAATAATAAAAATTAAAAAAAATGAAGAGTAACACGCGTATCTCAGATGTTATATATATGCACAGTCGGATTAATATAGCGCAATTAACTGGATACTGTGAAAAGGCAGCGCTGTCCGGCCCGGCTCGGCTGTCCGCCTCGGGTCGGCGCGTCGCCATTTTCGCTCGCTCGCCCGCCCGCTGCCGTACGGATGTCGGACAGAATAAGCAGCTCAGGAAAAATGGTCGAAGAAGCGAGTGAGAGAGATCAGTCAGCGGACTGTGTTGAGCAGATCCGTCGACGGGCTTTGGGGAGTCCGCTTTGGAAGGGAGCCCGCGACGAACTGTTGCGTGTGCGACCAAAGGAGTCACTACAACAACAACAACAAATAGTTGGCATTTGTTAGTAAAGCAGTTACCTTTCCGCTCATTTTGACTTTTGTTGAATAAATACACCGCCAAATTTAGAAGAAAGACTTAGGGAACGAAACACTACAGCCAAATATTATGTATTTATATGTTTAGAAGCTTTTCTGTCTTTTTTTTAACTTGCAAATGGAATAAATATCCAATTATGTTTTAGAAAGAAATCATAAACTGAATGTCACATCAAGATTAATTGATAAATTTTCACACTGGAAATTCAACAGAAGTCTGACTCCATCAGTATGTATCCTCAGAGTATAAGCTAAAGTGATCCAGGACTGCACTTACCAACAGAGCTGTATTGTTCTGGATCATGTTTCAGAAGGAAGGGTCTGTTTACGTGCCTTTGGAAAATTTCTAATTGTAATTTCTGAGCACGTGGTCTGATTTACAGGGTCATACAGATGACAGTCCGTATGCTGTATCAAACACTTTCAAGTTTGTCTTTTCTGTATCATGGTTAGTTCTAGACCCATCTTAATATTATAATAAAGCTTTCTAAAACTGGGTACGTCAACAGAATTGGTAAAAGGGCTTGGCTTGAACATCAGGACACTTCTTAAATATGCATTGCAAAATTGCACGACAGTAAGGTCTGCTAAACAGCTAAATGGTCAAATATAGTGATTGCGGAGATTTGCACAGTACGATGACTGCTTCAGTTATCAGAGTAATATTGTGGTTTGGATTCTGCACATGGTGGCATTGTGTACTACATATGATTCTGATTAGTGTGCATGACGATTTAATCATTTCAATTTCTGACTGAAGAGCTCTGACTGACGGACGACCTTCTATCTCAGGCCTATCGATGCGTAGCACTCAGGAGGAGGAGCCCCAGGATCCACAACTCGTCCGATTGGACAACATGCTGCTGGCTGAAGGCGTGGCCGGACCAGAGAAAGGGGGCGGGGCAGCGGCTGCCGTTTCCGCCGCCACCAGTTCGGGGGGCATGTCACCGGACAGCTCACTGGAGCATTCGGACTACAAGAGCAAGCTCAGCCAGATCCGCACCATCTACCACACTGAGCTGGAGAAATACGAGCAGGTAGCTAGTGGTCTTTGGCTGGGGGCTTGATCCCACCAGGCTGCATCCATCCATCTTCCAGCTACTTACCCAGTACTTGGTCATAGGGGCTGCTGGAACCTCTCCCAAGCAGCATAGGGCACGAGGTGGGGTCACAGTTGGTATTTTAAAAACTGCTGAGACAGACTTCAGGACACAAAAACACATGAGGAGACCTTTGTAAATAGTTTAGCAGTTTTTACTGGGTTGTGTGTATCTATGAAGATGAAGATCTCACAAACCTGCGCGTTTGGCTTTTATGAGCCCCCTGCTATAAAGCTAAGGACAGGAGTCAGGCTCATTTAATTATAGTAATTAATCCAATTCGCTCGTTAAAAACTCATTTGGAGTTTAGCAGAGCCGTGTTCCCAGAGCAGAGTCACTCTCTTAGCTGGTGGTGTTCCAGGTATTGTCATTACAGGCACTAACTCCTGGTAGATTTACAGGCCATGCAGTGATTCAAGTGACCTATAACAGTTTTAAATTAAACATGAGATGTATTGGAGGCTGTTGTCTTGAGAGGTTGCTTAACTGCAGTGATTTTTAATTGCAGTATTAATTTTGTAGACTTTCGTAGAGACTGAGGCCAGCCTCCTTTGAATAAGAGTAGGTGATTTATACTGTAAAGTCATTGTCCATATGGCATGTTTTCCATATTCTGTTATACCTCTCATGGCAGGAAAGACTCCTGCATCTCTCAGAGAACCATACCTTACTACTAACACCTTAAGACGGAAAGTTTATGGCCTACTGTTTTAGGCCTTAGGGTGTAGCCTAGCGGATTAAAAGAAATATACTAAGGCGAAGTTGTTGGCTGCGGAAGGCTTTTCATTTCTCACCAGAACGTCCCCGTGCCTCGCAGGCGTGCAGCGAGTTCACCACCCACGTGATGAACCTGCTGCGGGAGCAGTCGCGCACGCGGCCCGTGTCGCCTCGCGAGATCGAGCGCATGGTGGCCATCATCCACCGCAAGTTCAGCTCCATCCAGACGCAGCTGAAGCAGAGCACCTGCGAGGCCGTCATGATCCTGCGCTCCCGTTTCCTGGATGCCAGGTGGGGGGGGCCTTTGCCCGTCACTCCTGTCGTGAAGCTTTTAGCCAATAACATCTTTCTGTTGAGATTTACGCTTAATTTTTTTTTTCTTAAACAGACGAAAGCGGCGTAATTTTAGCAAGCAGGCAACGGAGGTCCTGAATGAGTATTTTTACTCCCACCTTTCGAACCCCTACCCCAGCGAAGAAGCCAAGGAGGAGCTGGCCAAGCAGTGTGGCATCACCATGTCTCAGGTACCCGTCTCTGGGGGGCAGCAGGGATTCCCGTCTCTGGGGGGGCAGCAGGGATTCCTGTCTCTGGGTGACACTCTGCATCTCCATCGGTTCTCTCTCTGAACGCTCAGGATCTGCCTGGACTGCCAAAGAATGTTTTAATTCACTTCAGACCACTAACAATGTCTGTATTGATAATGGCTAAATTAAACTGATTTGTGTTGTTGTTCCTTAAATGCTTAAGTGCTGCTATTGACCAGCCTGCCCAAGCAGGATTGGAACCCATTCTAAACATTTCAGTGAATATCTGTCTATATTATCATCTCAATTATTTTTGTGTGACGTCAATAAAGCTGTTTGTTTTGTTCCAGGATTGAGATATACATCTTGTATATCTCTTCCCTTTTCTCATTTGTTCTTACCTGAAACATTTTTCCCTCTATCCCCTCCCCAGGATGTGCTAATCGTTAATCACTATTTCTGATCCAGTTTTGCCCCCCCGTCTGCTTGTCTGCTGTTCGCCTCTTACCCCACCTGTCTGCCCCACAGGTGTCTAACTGGTTTGGCAACAAGCGAATCCGCTACAAGAAGAACATCAGCAAGTTCCAGGAGGAGGCCAACCTGTACGCCATGAAGACGGCCATAGGGGCGACGCAGAGCGAGGAATCTCCGCAGACTCCCAACTCTACTGGTGAGATGAGGCACTGCAGAAAGAGCACTATTTTTAACCTAGATTTTTTCATATTTTATAATCTGCCTGGGCACTTAATTATAAATACGGATCCTCTAATTTTACACACTTGAAGTGCATGTTATACTAATAATTTTAATTCTTGGTTAATTTTTCAAGTTTATAAAAAGCATGCAGTCCTGTTTTGGGTATATGCCAACCTGCCTCCCTAAACCCTGCATCTACAGGCTCAGGTTCCTTTTCTCTCTCTGGGTCAGCTGACCTGTTTTTGGGGGTTCCTCCAATGAATGGAGAGCAGACACCCTACCACATGGGAGCTCAGGTACCCATCCCAGTTAATAATTCTAGATTCGTTCTCTTTCCAGTTTCCAATTTCGTTGTTTACATGCGTCGGTGGCTGTGATTTGGTACGCTGATCCAGTATGTAATAGTGCGCCTCTCCCTTCCCTCGTGTCTGTCAGGATTCTGTGTCCCAGTCCCGCTTTTCCGAGAGACTCTACAGTCCCAGAGAGAGCCGGGTGAGAAACCATTTATGTTTCTGCTCAGACAGAACAGGCGGTCAGAAATGGCATCAGGAACATACCCCATAAGTTCCCGATAAATCAGAAAGTCCTAGTAAAGAGGCATTCTGGATTTAAGTAATATTCATTTTCTCCACTTACCGTACTTATTATTGTCTTTATGGCCTGTTCTGTGACAATAGAACATATATAGTTTACCACAAAGGCATAGCATATACTGTTGGATTGTGATAGATTTATATTAGTGCAGTCATGCTGTGATTGAAGTGGAAAGGAGTTCGTCATTGTATTGGTCTGATAATTGGCCCTTGGAGGTTAGCATGTGTTCTCTCTTTCTGCTTCAGTAAATTCAATCCCTGTGAATAATTTACATGTTAATTAAGAAGCTTCTCATTGCTTTGACTTGGTTTCAGCTTAAGTATCTTATTTGGGTGGCTGGTCTGCCCTGAAATCAGATTATTGTCGTCGCTCATTATGTGTTACATGTTAATTCGCTCGCTCTGTGGATATGGCTGGGACGCAGGGGCGTAGGTATTAATTCCGCCGCCGTCTACCTTTCAGACTAACGGTAGCTGGCAGGAGCCCGGCTCCCCCCCCTCAGTCACGTCCCCCGGCAGTGACCACTCTGAGAACTCCAACTGATGGCCCCACTCTTCATGTCAGGGTCCCGCTGGGTACCTGGAAGGGGTGTGTCTGCGCTGAGGAAGGAGGGGATGGAATCAGGTCCCCACTCACCCTTTCTCCCAGCCAGCATATTTTATTTTATTATTATTTTTTCCCCCTAAGCGACGGTTAGTGTAGATCATTCTGTTCCTGTTGGTATGTGCGTGTGTCAGGTGCGTGTATGACTTTTAGTGCTGGGACTGTGGGGTTTTTACCACTGTATCTATTTTACCTACTTGTTACTGCCGTATGAGAGCTGCGTGAGAGGGGGGGGGGGGATTTGGGAAACTGCATTATCACTGCTATTACTGCTATGTTATTACAACTATTTTAACTTTTTTTTTTTTTTCCTAGCCCAGATATAGGTGAAAGTACAGTATAAGGACGAGGTGGCAATAGATAAATCCAAAGATTGTTGTTGTTTGTGCTTGTTTCACCTTTTTTTTCTACTGAGCTTGTGTGTGTGTGTGTGTGTGTGTGTGTGTGTGTGCGCGCGTGTGTGTGTATGTATTATGCGAATGAGGTGGGTGTGACTTGTCTATATTTACGGTTTGAGTGAGTGTATTACAACAGTGCTGTCTTTTCTGTACAGTGAAACACCTGTATTCTCTACCTCTTTTGCAATAAAGACTGTCTGTACACACTAAAGTCCCAGTCCAGTGCTTTTCTCTGTTGCTGGATTTGTGATTGGCGATCTCAAACTGGGAATTGTCAGTGACATTTTATTAGTAGCCAGTGGGACTGTAAAGTGAGAATTTTTTGTATGTGTAATCCTTTATATATTTACTGTATAGTGTTTATTTAAAATGCAAAAATAAATAATTATGAGCCATTAATTTAACAGGCATCTGGGGAAATAGAATGATCAGTTTATTGTAATTCAGAATTTGAGTGAAACACTTCACTTTTTAATCAAATGTATCTCTGAGACCCTCCTTAAGGGGGCAGCACTATAATTTTCAGTAGCTGCAACATTGCTCAGTCTGCTATAAAATAACCTATATTACATAGGCATAGACCGTAACATAGACAGTAAACACCATTATTCTCAAATAGTACAAATAACTACATCTAAACACATTAACAGAAGGCCATAAGACAGCGAGCACCTGAAATTTTCTCGTCAAATTACAAACTCTTTTGAAGCTGCTTGTCTTTGTCTTTTAACTGTAGCACCAATGAAAGATTAGAGTAATGGAATTCAGAACTGATGCAAAACAAAGACACCTAGCAAATGGTGAATCATGGAAGAAGAGAAGTGGCCACGAGGAAATAAGCATTCAAAAAAGCTCAGGATTCACAGCAGTTTGACAGAAGTATTGCCTGTAGTAATGAAAACTGGCATTAGGGTTTAAGCAGGAAGTCTACACTGGGTCTTTGGTCCATTAAGATTTCTTGATTTTCATCCTTCTATAACAATTTTTGAAGAATCTGGCTTCTAAATGCATCAATCGCGCTACATACTTACCATGACAGCTTTTGTAGATACGTATTGTTATTAAAATACCCTGTTAGCTTACTGTTTGTTATTGTCGCCATGGAATCAATAATATCCGAACAGATTCAAAAGGACTCACACACCGGAAGAAATGTAATAACTGTATGAAGTCAGAGCTTATGTTTCAGACATTAAGCTGGTCCAAATGCATGTACTGTTCATTGATTATAGGAGTGCGACATTTTTTATTCTGCAACCAGTAAGTCTCTCACAGGACTGTTTGAGCAGGGGTCTCAGATTCTGAAGCTCTGCTGGAGTTCATTTTGTCATGGTGCACTTTCTGATTGCAGCTTTGGCCATTTCCAGTCTCCCGGTCTGGCTTAGCCTTAGCGGAGAGATCAGCTCCCATTGTGGCGTCTGGTAGCCTGGAAGCTTCAGTGCCGGTTACTGGAATCACTTTTTCAGTGCACTCGTTGGCTGTCTTCACCGGCATGGGAGCCAAGGAGTTTTCCAACTGGTTATTACTTGAGCGGCGCTGCAGGGTGTGTTGAGTGCATGAGAATGACCGTTGCCTGGCTGCGTACTGGGAGTGCGGGAAGTGGGGGGTGATTGCTCGGGTGACTTCCTGTTCTCTATCACCATCCTCTTCTTCTGAGGTCACCTCCGGTAGCGTGCTAATGAGGCGGGACGGGCCGCCAAGGACTCTTGGAGAGACCAGCGCTGTAGCTGATTGGTTTGACGGGGGGCGCCATTGCTGAGGGGAAGCACAACGGCCTCTGCTCATCGAGCAGTTGCTGTAAAGACAGACAACCAAAGGTTATCATGAGGTTATCAAGGTTATCAAGTTTAATGTGAATTCAAAGGCTTCGTTCTATAACATTTCACCTGGGATGCTGCACTGGTGGCTGCCGGTAACCTATGACCCCAGAAAAAGATGCACTTCGCCCTGGAAGGCCAGGACTTGCGGTCCATTGATTGTGTGGGACAGCATGGTCATTCCATGACATGTCGTTGTCTGGAGGCATCTGAGTAGCTGTTTTTTGAGGTCTGTGAGCCAACAGAAGCTCCACAACCTGCTGATGTAATCCCTCACGGGCAACGTCGATTGGACACCGGCCAGACCAGTCAGACAAATCCTGATTGGCTCCGTGGAGCAGGAGGAACCTGGCAGTGTCATAGCAGCCATGGAGCGCAGACAGAAACAGAGCAGTCTCTCCCTGGCAGGAGAGGACAGGGAGACTTCAGTTTAAACACAAAGCGAGTTCTTTACTGAAGCACGAGTTCCTTAATCTCCTTATTTAAAATTTTGTATTCTTATTTTTGGTACCTTGTAGTCTTGTAAGTCCACTGCTGCACCATAGCGAATGAGGGTCCGAGCAAGGATGAGGTGATTAACTGAGCATGCCCAGTGAAGGGCAGACCTCCCTGGTGGAGAGAATGGGTCGAAAGTGGAGGGGGGGGGGGGCAAAACATAAAACAGGGTGGGATTAGGTAAAAGAGAAGTGCAAAGATCAAAGAGGGGGAAACAGAGAGGATGGGAAGATGGAGGTTCGATAGAGGGAAGAGGGGAGGAGGGATGACAGTTTAGCGGGAGAAAGAGTGACAGCAACCGTCTAGTCCAGGGTGAGAGCATGAAAAAGGCAGAAAGAAGGAAGAGTGCGAGCTGGAAAGCGGAAGCAGGAAAGGCCAGTGAATGTGGAAAGTGTGGGAGGGGTTATGGTGAGAGGAAGCAAAGGAAGTTAAAACGGCAAAACAGGACTGACTGGCTTAAAGCAGATTAACGCTACTCTGAATCAGAGGAGGGGAGCAGGGCTGCTGGAGTGAGGAGGAGGAGGAGGAAGAGGAGTGGCCAGTGAAAGACGAGGAGGATGGTGTGTGGGGAGAGCCAGAGAGAAGCAGAACAGGTTATAAACCGACAACCTACCTCCCAACGACATATCAAGAAATCGTGATCGCATACAGAACTCAGAATCAGTGAAATACTTCCATATAGCATCATTTTACTTGCTTTTTATTTTAGTAAAAGATTGTTTCACCTGCAATCACACAAACGTGTGTCGCTCAGGTCGTATTGCCGACCAAAGTGATCCTCGTTCCCTTTCCTACGTTACCACGAGCCTTGTTTGTACCAGTAGCCCAGTCCTGCTAAGTGGTCCAGATTATGGGGTTAGAATAGTGCAGTACCGGTGTGGTCTGTGTTGTTGACTGGCACTCCAGCTCTCAGCAGCTCCAGTACCACCCGGTCCAGTCCACTTCTGACTGCACGAATCAAGACCACAGATCCATCTGGACCACACCACTGAACTGGGGTAGACTAAACACACACACACATATACACACATAGATTAGGTTTCTATATCTTTGTGGGCAGTCTCCATTTATTTCATAAGTATAACCTTAATCTCAACAGTGACAACCTTAACCCCTACCCTGCCCTAATCTTAACCAGAAGTAAACAAAGAAAAAAACAAGACTTTTGGCTCCTTTAGTTCTATGATTGCATTCACAGATTTTTATAAAAGTGTGTTTTCCCTTGTGGGAACCTATAAAGGGTCGGCACAAGGTCAACTCACATCGTGGGGACCAATATATACATGCTCACACACATATACACACACACACACGTGCACGCATGCACACAAAATGGTAATTACACAATTTTACATTATACATAATGGCTCCAAAGAACAAAAGAACATCATACCTTTTCCTTACAAACAAAACTGAATCAAAAACTAATTAAAGGTACACAAAAAGCTATTTAACCATAACAAATAACTTCCTTCCAGTTCATTTTAGTTATAGCCTGAAATAAAATTCAGGTATACAAATCACTTTGGAAAACAGAACATTGAGGTGGGGTAGTGAGCATATTAACTGACCAGTTCTACAGAGATTGATCCTATTTGCAATGATAATCACGTAGGCTGACCGATAAGACATCGCTTTCATAATTTCATTCAGTACAATAGAGGCAAGACCAGAACTGAAGAGGAAAAAAAACACTAACGTTGCTGAATGTCCTGCTTTGTGCTGGGTTTGGGGCTCTTTCCCATCCTCTAGATGCACCTGAAAGAAAACAAACAAATTAGATATTTACATTTCTTAATTACCTTTGAAATGAAATTATTCTTAATTTGCTATTTGTATAAGTACAGGTACATCGGAATGCTTTGTCTCTCTTATCCCACCTTGCTCTCCTTTGAGACAGACACACACAGATATTCAGTTGAGTATGAAGCTTGTGAAGCTGATCTATGGTCAGGCCATTTATGTGACGCCCCTGGACCATTTTGGGGAGTTAAGGGCTCAATGGACATGTGACTATTCTGCTGAGGCCAGGACTGGAACCAGCGACCTTCTAATCCCCGACACAGAGGCCTGACCCCCTGAGTCACACACCGTATTTTTTAGTTATTCCGTTATTTTATATTGACTTATTCACAAATAACCCCAAGACCAACAAATTTTTTAACTTCTCTGTAAAGGGAAGCAGTGCAAATTGATGGTGGCACCTTGGCTTGGGGACTGAATGCTGCTGTTTGCGACCCGCAGGTTCTTTTGCTCCTGAGGTCGATGGTCGTGGATGGAGTTATGTGAGCGCTTGGTGCTGACGTCCTCCATGGAGCTCTGAGTGATGTCAGTATCGCTTCCAATATCCAAGTCCTTTTTGAGGGGCCTGCAGTAATTAAAAAAAAAGACAAAGAATGATTTCTTTATTATGTCACTTATGTCAAGGTATTATTGTCCAAGTATTTGGGTCAAAATAAGCTATGTGAACCCAATTAGTGATACCCGCATGCAAAATTCTGCTGCATTTACCAAATCCTCCGAAATTTAATGCTGTAATCAAAACACAGAGCTGTCATACTGTCAACGTGAATAATAACATTTCCCTCTTTTTTAAAAACGTTTTAAACAACAGTAATTCTTTTACAGTAAGAGTAGAGATACAAAATGTATTAAATGTTACCTTTATGTATATTAAAAAGGAAAATAGTGCCATACATTCTTAGATATTAACAACACCGGTGTAAAGTAAACTTATGGCAAACAAGATTGGCAGTAGAGTGGAACCACAATATCTTTAATTTAATCTATCATAACTTAAAGAATATTAAAGTTGTCTGTCTCACCGTAGTCGAATGGCGTCCTCCCCCAGCGGCTCGCTCCGTCTCTTGCCTGCCTCTTTTCCTTTCTTCTTCTTCTT